TGACAGAATTTTAATTTTTGAGTAAACTATCCCTTTAAGTATTTTTTTCTCTTCTTTCCAACTCAGTTCTTTTATTATTCCCTTTCCTTAGAAGTGTTTTTTTTTCTTTTTTTTTTCACTTTCTTTATTCCTTTCTATCTTATATTGTTTCCGTGTCCTGATTTTTTTCTTGCCAGGTCTCAAGAATTGTCTGCATTACACTAAATAACCAGAAAAATAGGAGTAGCAGAACACATTAATGTTTTTGTCATATGCAATTCTGCAATTACCAAAATCCAGTAAATATATTAAGTTATTAATATAAATATGATGATTGTGAAACGCTCTACTGGATTATGAGGCAGCAACAGCTTGTGGGCAAGCCAAAAAGCTGAAATCTTACTGTTATTTGACAGCTTGAAGAAAAAAAGATTTAGAACCCTATCTGTAAAACAAAAACTAAAAAAAACCTTAACCATTTCAAATTGTATTCACTCTAAAACTGTATTCATTGTTCTTTGCACCAGACAATGGAAACAGACCTTTAATCCAACAAACTAGATGCTCTTAAGTACTGTTTACTAAAGTTGTTTAGTTTAACTATTGCATCCACCTGAAAGTTCACATAACACAGTGTAATTAAGTAAATTCAACAAATTTGTAAAAATCAGTTATGTTTACTCGCTTTTCTTAAAAACGATAGCACACACTGTGACAATATAGTTTATAAGTAGATCACCAAAAACTTATCTAATCTTGCGGCCACATTTCAAACACTGAACTCTGAATCTGAAGTTCAGTTCGTTGTCTTCTTCTGGCGATGTTTTGTTTAAACCAACCTTCCGCCACCTATTGGTGCACTTCCGCCACCTACTGGTCTAGAGTTATTAGGGCACATAGTGGGATTGGGGAAATATATATATATATATATATATATAATCTGTAAAACAAAAACTAAAAAAAACCTTAACCATTTCAAATTGTATTCACTCTAAAACTGTATTCATTGTTCTTTGCACCAGACAATGGAAACATACCTTTAATCCAACAAACTAGATGCTCTTAAGTACTGTTTACTAAAGTTGTTTAGTTTAACTATTGCATCCACCTGAAAGTTCACATAACACAGTGTAATGAAGTAAATTCAACAAATTTGTAAAAATCAGTTATGTTTACTCGCTTTTCTTAAGTAGATTCAGTGATTACTTTTTACAGTGTATAACAGAACACAGTGTCTCCTTTATTTGACCCTGTCTTATTTCATAGCTTTTAAACACCATCTACAACAATGTAATATGTTCAGGGTGAGGAGCTTGTTTTCTTTCTTGTTCTCCCTCAACTCTGTGTGGTCAAACAGCCAAAATAATTCAGCAGTGGTTAACCAAGAGTCATGCTTTTGTCAAGTTTGAGGAAACCCAAGGGTGCATTTTAATATCACA